AACCTGTCGGCTTCGCGCTACACTCCCAGACCCTGGGACCCAGGGCCGATACAGGCACTGTGTGAAAAGCACGGCTCACTCCGCCCGGATAACAGTCCAGAGGGGGAAAGAGCCGGCTGATGAATGATCCTGAAAAAGATCATTTCCTCTCTGAAGCTCGTCCCTGCAGTAACAGATGCAGGTTGGGGGCAGTCTGCATGATTGAGCTCTTTTAATACGGTCTCTCCCATGCAGATTCCTCAGTCCAGCTCCGGATGACCTGTACTTTCCCACGCAGGGGCCCTGGAATGGTTTATTAATTGATTTTAATTAGGTAGGAGTCAGCAGAAGCATCAGAGGCCTTCCCTTCTCTGAAGGCAATTTTAATGATTATCTGTTGCTCATCGATAATTGGCCCTCTGTTATTAGATCTGACCTGTTTTTGCTGATCTCTTCTGGGTACTTCACAGGAAATGTTTCAATTCATTTGAATACATCATGCGTATCGTGACAGCGTGGATGTGGAATATAAAGGGAAGTAAACAGTTTGTCCAGACTGACTGAAGGCAGGTCCATAGAGAGACACTGCGTGCTTTTGTGACCCTATACATGTTATATTTTTGCTCCTGGAAGATCAGCACTGTAAAATGCCTAAACCTTAGGAGGCCGGATCTGAGAATCTGGTGCAACACCTTAAAAGCTCTTTTTTTTACAATTAATAAGAGAAAAAAAACTGGATTGAACCCTACCAACCTAGTTAGATAGATAAGACTTTATTGACCCCGAAGGGAAATTGATGTGTTACAGCAGTCCAGCCCAAGACCAGCAAAAAAACAGACATCAGGATAGACGACAAATTATACAAAATAAATAAAAATAAATACATAGGTGTGTGCAAAATATGATGATCATAGTCACTGTAAAAACAATAGAATATGTGCAAAATGTGCATAGGTTTATACAGATTGAGTGTCCAAAAAGTACAATAGAGCAACATGCTGTCCATAGAGGAGCAAATGAAGGGCTAACAGTCCTAGCCTGGGGCAGCGTTATACACCCTGACAGCCGCCGGGAGGAAAGACCTGCGGAAACGTTCCCTTGAACAACGTAACTGGAGCAGCCTGTTGCTAAAAGGGACGGAGAGGAGGTTTTGTACTTTGACAAATTCAGCACACTCGTTAAAGTTACTATCATGCAAGGAGAAATCGAGTTACAATCCATCTCCCAGCTGTGATGGCAGGTCCGGGGGTCTCTTTGTATTGTTATGATGAAGCCCTGAAGGGCGCCACATGTGCGCGGAGCTGGCCGGCGGCGCTAGGACCCGGGGATACGTCCTTCACCTCCACCCCAAGCTCCCCCACCCTCCCTCCGGAGCCGAGCGAAGTGCGCCTGCGCGCCGGCGAGGAGTCTGGAGGCTGCGCTGCGCCTCTGCAGGACTGACGAGAGCCGAGCACGCTGCCGCGCGCGGCGCCTTGCTTGCCAGCCCCGGGATCCGCGCGAGAGGAGCGGGAGAGAGACCCACAGCGAGCCGAGCCGAGCCGAGCCGAGTCGCCTCCGTACGAGCGCCGGACCGCCGCCGCCACCCTCCGCCTGCGACGCCTCTGGGTGGGTGTGTGTGTGTGCGACCTCCGAGCGACAGGGCACGGCACGGAGCTGCCCACCGAATTTTTCTTTTTTGGAGGTGGCTGGGGTCGCGGAGCGCAGGGGTGCCGATTTGAAACCCCGACCCCTCCTCCTGCCTCTGTCGCTGATTTTACTCCAAACACCGTTTTTTTTTTGTTGTTTGCTGTTGCTGCATGGTGTGAGAGAAGGAAGGCACCAGCCAGCGCTCGGCGGCAGCGGGGCTGCGCTCATGACTCGGAGCGCGGACCTGCTCGGGAACCGCAGGTCTTGGGGTTCGCACCACCGGCTCGCGGGTGATCGATCGGGCTCGGCACATCCAGTCACCCGGCGCCGATCGATGCCGCAGGTCCTCGCGTAGCCGGCCGGCGCTGCCTCCGACCGCCGAGGACAGAGCACGGGCAGAGGGGGAGACGGAGGCGCTGTCCGTTCAGCACCGCGGACGATCCCCGGCGGGCGGCCGGCCAGGGGCTGGGGTCCGCACCGCTGGCCCCTTCTCGGACCAGAGGAGCACCGTCTCGGCGCTGTTTTTCCTTCAAGTTTTGTTTTTGAAGGTGTGCGTGCGTGTTTGGGGTTTTTTTTTTTCTTCCGGCGGAATGATGGCTGGAATTCTGCGTTGATGAATTCGGGGGTGTTTTTTGGGGGTTTTTTTCGTCTCCTTCTGTGGGATTGCACCGGATCGATTCCTTCCTCTCTCCTTCTCCTATCTCTCCCCACCCCCCTCTCTCTCGCTGCCTGCTGTCGCTGGGCTCTCCTGCGACTCGGCGCCTCAGCGGGGAAGAGGCGCTTTCGCCGCGATCCCTGCGCGCTGAGCCCCGGTAGCATTTTGTAAGAGAAGAAACAACCCAAACTTTCAAACCTTTCTCGTTCCCCCCCACCCCTCCCTCTGTCTCTCGCTTCC